TTCGAGAACATATTAAATATTTAGTGAAACAAGGAAATTCGTACAGAAAAGTAGCGAATTTACTGAATGTTTTCAAAACACTGGTTGAACAAGGAGTAAAATCTGGGAACCCAGATAGAAACACGCGACAGGAAGTCTAAAATAGCGTTGTTTGTCAAGAAAATACAGTTTGCTATGTTAAGAAAAACCCATTAATTTCATCAAAATTTATAAAATGTTATTTGAATATTGACGTTGACACATTAATTATCTGCAAAGTACTTAAAAAAGCCTATGTTGAACATGCATCGAAGGCTTAAGTTTACTGAAGGACATGTTTCTTGGAATAAAGAGCAATGGCGCAACATTTTCCGGTCTGACGAAACCAAAATCAACTTATTTAATTCTGTTCGAGGTATTCAATATGTAACATACAACACTAAGTATACGATAAAGACCGTTGAACATGTTGGCGGAAACATTATGGTTTGGGGATCGTTTCATACAATGGTCTGGGTCCGATAACTTAGGTGGATATTTATGCAGTTCAACGACCCTAACAACAAATTCTAAGTGTACAAACGGGCGGTTTAGAGTCAATAATGGAGTGGCTTCCGCAGTCCTTGGATTTAAAATAAAATCCATTGAAAATTTGTAGTATACGGTGAAAGTTTCGTTAATAGAAAGGTGTCAAAGTAATAATGAAGAGCTTTTTCAACTTATTCATGGAATGCAGTACCAGTTTCCGTCTGCCAAATTTAAAATCATAAGGAACTTTAAAAAAAAAAATATGGAACTAATAAGTTACTTACTAGTTATTATACTCTCGCAACAAAGTTGCTAAAGAGAGTATATAGTTTTGTTCACATAACGGTTGTTTGTAAGTCCTAAAACTAAAAGAGTCAGATATAGGGTTATATATACCAAAGTGATCAGGGTGACAAGTAGAGTNGTTTGGTCAAAATAAAAATACAACTCAAATTCCTTAATTTTTAGTAGCGGTTCATTATTAATCAAATTACAGTTTTTTGTTTTTAAWGTTTAATTATCAATTTCCACATCGTTCATAATCGACCATAATTCACTTGATGTAAAGACGAATTGTAATTCACGTAGATGCAAATGTTTGGTTTCAAATCGCTGCTTGGCCACCAACGCCASCAACTTTTATTTGATGAGTGTTGTTTATTATTTGCTTGTATGTTGTTGTTAGCGTTGTTGCCATTATAGTAGTTTTATGCAAGCATACGTAGTTCTTCCCGAAGTTCTATCGGTTTTGATGRAGCTGGTTCCTCCCACTCTCCCAATTTGGCATCATAATATCGCGCAGCACGATATGGTCGCAAATTCCATGGTCACCAATGGGTTTTCCAGGACAGATAAGCTCAGTGAACTTGACTTTCAATAGGAAGGTAGGATCGCAACGCATGTCTTAACGACGGTATCCTCACCATTTTTCATCTTTGCKCACAACACGATGGAACCAGTCAATTAATTCGCTCAACTGGTAACGCTTTGGTYTGYAAGGTGGGTGTTGAGTGTTTAGCATATTAGAAAGTATGTAAATTCAATTTTGCTCAAAACCTAACCAACAGCTTGATCGTGATCCTTAGCGCAATTGACAATAGCTTGTGCAACATGCTCTTCAAAAAGTTACTTCCACCCTTAAGCACAAAGCTCATTGGTTTGGGACTAGCGTTTAAGGCAGACAAATAATCAATCGGCTAATCAACCAGCTTTTTGCTGATGCTATAAAAAAAAAATAAAAAATACATGGCAAATCTTTTGAAATAAAGTTTAATATTAGCTTACCTAGCAATGCGACGTGCACCTTCCACGAGGACGTCATTGAATTTAAAATTTTGTCTCGAATTCACGACCAACTAAGTTGATAACTACATTTGAGTACTTCACATTCATTACTTTACGTCAAATGTGCTCAGATATTTTCCCATTTTGGGCAGCATTTTGCCGCATACTTTTGCGACCAACGGTGCAATATTTGAATGTGTGCACAATTTTCGGTACTCGAGGGCCAGTAACTGCACTCATTCCATTTTTTTATACTCTCGCAACAAAGTTGCTAAAGAGAGTATTATAG